TAAGTTCTTTGGAATACGCTTTAGAACTATTTCAAATTTTCACCCTAGGTAGCGCTGCAGTTAATCTCGCTAAATTTTGCAAATTTAAATATTTTAAATGAAGATATGAAACGAAGCGTTCTCGATAAAATGATACAATATCAGTACTATTGCTGATATAGTATCAATATCCTTGCAAATGTAAATGAATAAATGCTGTATAACCTTATTATAAGCTTCTACTTAGCTCACTCTTGGTGTTTGTCGATATGGTCAAAAGCAGTCATTCATTTTTAAACAACATCCTGAAAAGCTAATTGAGTCCAAATTTTGTACATCCACTATTAGTGAATGTCAGTACAATGTAATGAAACGATTTTTTTCAAAATTTGAATTAGATTTTTTAAAATTTTTATGTTGAAACGAATTTTCGCACATATATTCCTTTAATGAACAAAATAATATTCTCAGAATTTTGCTATTTGCGCTATTGGATAGAACAAAATAAATACTTTTAAATGAATTTTATATTACATTTTAACATAATTTCTGATTTTTTTGGCAAATCCCGTGAATTTTTTCGACTGTTGGATGTAATGAAATTGTTGTAAGATAAAGAGTGATTATTCTTTGTTAAAAAGTAAAAGGTAAAGAGGGGGAAAAAAGATTTTTTAAATCAATAATTTGATTGATAACATGCAGTTGAAACTAAAAAGATGAAAATTAAAACAATAACAGTTTTTATACAATACGCTTTTATTTAAAACTCCTGAAATGATTGATGAACTAAAAGCAGAAAATATTTATTGTATATTTTAAAGGAAACAATAATTCCCTTTACAAAATGTGACTACAGCTTTATATCACAAGTAATAAAAGCTTGGGTTCCAAAATAACGAAATGAAATTGCACTGTCAAAAATATACGCTATTATCTTTATAAATTTACCAAGCTTTTATTACTCATGATATAAACTTGTAGATGAATTTCGTTATGAAAACTATTTAATCTTTTATTCCCACTAACTATTAGGATAAAGTTTTTTTCTCTTGTCAGTTCGTTAATGATTTTATGAGTTTTAAATGAAAGTTTATTTTATAAAAAATAACTTTATTTCCTTTTTAAATGTTTCTGATTTTAATATTGTCATTATGATACTAACAGTTACATCTACAAGTAAAAAATTTCGTCAAAAAAAAAAAAAAAAAAAAAAAAAAAAAAAAAAAAAAAACAGAACACGTACTTAAAGAAAGAAATAGGCATTTTTAAACATTTGTACTTCTATTAATTCTATGTCAGATCCAAAAGAATTGTACTTCTAAAATGTTCGAATTCACTTTGTTCGCAGTTTAAGTGACTGTACTTGGTATGCAGGAATCTTGCAATTCACATTTGTATGAACAAAGATAAAAATAGTATGATTAAAAAGAAACTGTAATCTGATCTTGGTATGCCGATTTCAATCTAATACCTGAAGCAGTTTTACGCTAAGCAGATACATTAAACCTAGTTCAAGTAATAATCAATCAGAAATTCAAGATACAGAATATAAAACCTTATATCTAAAATGAGCTGTTCGAACTGGCAAGGCCAAATGGTATGAAAAAAAAATTGCTATAATATTATTTTCGTTGTAAATGAATGCCAGTAGAGCCTGCGCGCTTATTTAATAAATAAAGGATTTAATTATTAAATACGTAATTGTGCATTTTTTTCTCTCACGGGATCGCCTTATATAAATGTTTTTCTCTAATACAATCGGTTGAAAAATTAAAAGAATTTGAAAATTATATCTATTTTTAAGAAAAGTATTGAATCAAGGGTACTAATTCTGCTGCCGAAGAATTATGCAAATATTCTTTGGCCAGTCGAATACCTAAGCGTACACGTGCGTGTTTGCCGAATTGGGATTGTGAAGGGAATATGAACGCACGAGGGGTATTCGTCGATTTGTGTGCTCGTACTCCTTCACGGCATTCGCCGAGTTTCTCGCAAGAGTTGGGTAAATTTTATAAAGTATCAGGTAAAATGAGTAGCCACAAACAAATGGATGACAAAATGAGATGGAGAATTGTTGGATGAGATGGAAATTTGAGTTAGGCCAATTACAAGCGCAGGTTGCTGCCAGAGCTCAATGTGACACCCAGTATTGTCTGCAGTTTGCGGAAACAGTTTCAGGACACTGGATCCATATCGAGGAGATCTGGACAATGTCGACCAAGATCCACAATGACGAAAGCTAGCGAATCGTTAGCTAGCGATTCAGCACGGCGACATAGGACAGCTATAGCTTCGCAGCTCTCACGTAAACTGTATGCTGCCACTGGAACCCAAGTTTCAGGGTCTGCAGTTGCCCAGAGCCTACATGAGGTAGAAATGTATGCTAGAAGACACATTGTTCGCATCCCACTCACTGCTGCACATTAAAGACAGCGCATTTAGCATGAAGCATGCGCCTTGGACCAGACTTCAATGGAGTATCATGCGTTTTACATACGAGTCGAGATTCAGCTTGGACACTGATACTCGGCATACCTGTACCTGGAAAGAGCCTGGAACACTATACCATCCCTCCGTTATCAAAGAAAAGGATCAATACGGTAGTGGAGGTGTAATGGTTTGGGCAGGCATTATGTTGGACGGCTGCACATCCCTATATGTGTTTGACAAAGGCTCCCTGACTGCTAGGAGAAATAAAGAGGAAAACTTAAGAGTCCTATGTTCGACTTTTCAAGGCCGTAGTTGATATTGGTTTCCTATTTTAATGGATGACAACGCTCATCCACATAAGGTTCAGCTGGTTGACGATTACTGTAAAGCAGGGTTTCTTAAACTTTTTTCAGTCGCGACCCCTTTTTATAACTGAGAATTTTTCGCAACCCCCAGGGCCCCATAATATTTACAAAAATTTTGTGTGACCCCATAAGTATTGCGCAAATCCGACTCACGCGTGAGTATAACTGTCAATTTTTTTCACTTGTACTGTAATATAATATTGCAGTTTTAGGTCATGAACTTTAATTTCTAATTTTAAAACATAGAACAATTTGAAAATTTTAAATAAGTAACAGACGAAATGACAGCGTCACGTGCAAAGCAAAGAAAATGAACGTGTACATTATAAAAAGAATGCGTCGAAACATTTTCGTTTTTTTTTTTTTTTTTTTTTTTTTTTCTTTGTCTGTATTGTCTTTATCTATTTTCAGATAAATTGTGTAAAAATATTTGGTAATTGAAAAATTATTATAAAAATTAAAGAAATATCAAAACTGCTAAAATTTTTGGCGACTCCCTGCTGTACGTCGCCACCCACAGTTTAAGAAGCCCTGCTGTAAAATAAAGACATTCGCCGCATGGATTGGCCAACTAGATCTCCTGACCTTAACCTTATACAGCATGTCTCAGACTCTCTTGGGAGGGCAATTTCATCTTGCCATCCCCCCCCGAAAACCATCCCAGAGATGAAAACTGCCTTGCTTCAGAAGTGGGATCGACTGCCACAGGGACTCCCCAACTGCCTCATGTTCAGTGCCAACACACTGCGCGACCTGTCTCGCTGTGAGGGAGAGGATTACAACCCTTATTAGACTCAATTTCGGTTCAGCTTTATTGATAATCATGCATACATAAAATGACTTAAATGATACATCTCTTCTCTGTTATAAATATATAATATGTATTTATATCAAAATTTCATTAAAATCTGTCCATTAGTTTTTCAGAAATTCGATATAATATGCAAATCCTCCTTATTTAGCACATATTTTTCTTTTCCCCGGGAATCTAAATCCACGAACTGAAAATAACAAACAACTGCCATTGGGTTGGGGGAGAGAGGAAGAGATAAAGAAGAGAGCGAGAGAAAGTGACAACTTACGTATAAAACAAAACATATATGTATATTACAAAGGCTTTTAAAATTAATTCTGAATTTTTTACTGCATATTTATGAATAAAATTTATGACAATATTATATGTTGCGCACATATAATATTCTTCATTATTATAAAATCCATCAGATACACATAAACTATATGACATGAACAAAAATTATTATCATGAGCGACATAATAATGATGTGAATAGTTTAGTGACGTCTTTTCCTTTCTAATTCATCTAAATTTCTAATAATTAATCTCAATTTCAGTATTTTCAAGAGCGCCTACATTCTATATGACGACAAATAAACATATATATAAATAAACACGAAAATAAACGACAATAAAGTTACCTAAACAATTTAACATTCACAATATTGTTATATCATTTAGAAATACCATTGCCGTAAACACAAGTTAATAACTCATTATATAACTAACAATAGTTAACAATAGTTACGTGTTATATTAACTTCCAAATTTAAAATAAATAAATAAATAAATAAATAAATAAAAAATAAAAAAATAAAAAAAAATCTGAAATGTTTCAGATTTTAAATTACGTCCAAAGGGGCGTTTTTTAACATTTTGTGTGTTACCTTTCTTTATTAAAATATCATGTTCCTCGCACTTAAACCATAAGATCCAGTGCAACAGCAATATCGCAAAATAGTTTTAAAACGAGCATATCTTTAGAATTTCCGATACAGAGACTCACGCGCTGGAGATAAAAATGTTTTTTCTGCACAACGTTGCCATTGCTCGCTTTGAAATCCTTGAGTTTGTTAATCAAAAATTCGTCAAAGTTTTAAAAAATAGGAAATCGATCATAAAACAAATTTCAAATTTCAAATTTGGTCTTCCACATGCTCATATTCGTTGGAGGATTACGTTATTCAAAATTCGATGACTCTATGTACCATTGTTTTATCACAATACGAGAAATATATATACATTTATGCAGATTTTTCATTATTTAATTTCTTCAAATATAATGCAGGACTCTAACATTTTGTGGCAACAGTTTGAAAAGTGAACTGACATTTATGAGTCCGACGCAAAATGCCAAAACGAAACTAATAGTCCTTCGGGATTCAAATCCCTTTGGACTAAAAAAAAAAAAAAAAAAAGAGTGTTTCTTACCAAGTCGGGGTCTATTTTGGCCCCAGCCTTCAGCAGAGACCGTACTTGATCCAAGTTACCTGCAGCTGCGGCCAGCCGCAGCTGCTCGGCTGGGGAGGACATGGCTCCCCTCCCACCTCTTCTACATGCGGGGACAAAGCTTCAAAGGAATAATATTCGACGAAATGTATCTCTGTAATAAAATTTAAAAAAATCCAATTACATTAAGAATTTTCCCGCACAATACGACTACAACATACTATTACAATATATTAAAAATAATATTGTATACTCCATGGGAAATTTTATTTATAAACAAACAGGTATAAAAGTGAATGGAAATATTTTCCTTGTTTTACTCTTTATTGTTTTGAACATATAAGCATATCTCGCGGAAATGTACTTTTAGTTCCATTATTCCTGCAATTAAGAAACATCACAATAAAAGCTGTCGGCTATTTTTTGATTGTCTATTGTATGCGAAAGTTATGCTTGCACTATATATAAGGTGTGGCAACAGTTTTAATTTCCTTTAAGAAATCTGCATTTGCATTTGCATTCCATCTAAATATTTGATGCAAGAGGCACAGTCGTCTGCCCGACGAAAGGCAAACAAAAAACCTATATTTTTTCGTCAATCATTTAGGCGAGTTGTGAACGCAAAAGGAAACTGCCTATAGAAAACAAAACTGGCTACTCTTAAAAAATGTCGGGTACTGATGCTTATTATACTGTTTATTCATAAATTATCAATAGGTTCTTCTTTCACTTGACTCTGTTTTGATTGTAAACTCTTCCCCAGAAGACTGCACAAAATAATTTAGATAGCTAATTCAGGAATTGCCGGCAAGTATAAAGATAACTACCATAAGTGAAACCATTCATCATGATATCAACAGCTTAGTTTAGCGAGCATTTCTGTAATCTTGTCTACTTGCTACACGGATCTGAAAGATTGTTCAATACGTGTTTAAAGATATTTTGTAGCCTATATTCGTAGGATAACTATTAAAACCGTTATAAGACCTACAGGCTATCGTTACTGCTCGTCGAAAGAAAAATTTCCAAGAATCTTTGCTTTCAGGAGATCTAACTGTTGAATCCCGCGAAAACTAGTTCTTTGGCACAAACCTACGCAAGGGAGAGCTACGAGCGAAATAGCAAGCCGCTCATGGAGGTACTAGTAGGAAAGTTCTTCCTACCTCCATGAAGCAGCTAAAGAGGTGCATTCAAGGAGGTTAGAATAGACCTATTCTAACCTCCTTGGGTGCAATTGGCTCGCAAATTTTTACAGCCACCATTTTTTTGCATGAAACATTACATGGGTTAGTTAAGAGGATTTTGAGACAAGTGAAGAGTAATTAGATTCTAAATTGCCATATGGAATTAAATTGAGAAAAGGAAGAGTTTTTACTCTAGATCAAATATTCAAAGAAATCACCATGTGATTTCAATAGCTACATACTTTTTGTTATTATTATTATTTTTTTTTAATCCATCGAAATTTTTGAATGGAAATTACGAACATAAACTAAATTATGATCACAGTGACATTCATAAGGAAGAATTCCTCGTTAAAAAAGAAATATTTGATAATTTTATTTCCGTTATGGATGGCAAGGAAATAGAAAATAGGGAAGGACAGTCCTTTTGAATTTTCGCAGTTTATTTTATCTCAGTCTTCCGAACAAAGTTCTAAATATTCTAATACTAGTGCGAACTTTCTTCTCGATTGCTACTAGCTGTCAGTAGCATTTTCTAAATAAAACTCATTTAGGAACTACAAATGTATATTTTGCATTTAAAGATATTTTTCGCTGCTGTGTACAAAAGAGGAGAGCAATCAAATAGACCGCTACAACGATACTGAAGATTTTGCGAACAATAATAATAATAATTATAATAATTTTAAAATGCTGGAATTAAAAGTTTTTCTTTAGAAACAAACGTCGAGTATTAATTTCCCTACATGGCATTTTGACATTTTTGAGAGTTATTTGTTTATATATCAAGAAGGGCGACAAATTCAGGAACCACTCCAAAAAGCAAACTCAGGAACCGCTCTGAGCGACAAAAGTTCTAGCTGCGTCACTGATATTTCGCCAGTGTCGCAAAATGTCACGCGCAATTTGCTTAATGGCAAACCGCACATAGAGTTGATCAGTGTTAACGAATTTCCCTTTCTGCGCATGCTCAATGGTGTACCGCTGGCGTGAGAGGAAATATTTGCGAGAGCAAACAACCTTACACAAGCCTGGTCGTCATGTAGGTCTTATAGACTGTTTACAATTGCAAATACTACGGAAATTTGTTTGTACTTATTGGATTTGCTTCTATTTCATTTCATTTTAGTTTATTTTGTTCATAAACATTACATTTAATATCAGTTATTCATAATAATTTCTTTCAGATTAATTCAGTAATTTAAACTGGATTTAGTCCTTAATTTGTTAAAGTATACACGAATGTAACGTATGATAAATACTCAGTTGCTTTTATTTCTCAGAAGTAGAATCAATAAACGTTCAGCTAATACATCTTGTAATGTCTCCTATTTTGTAATTTTTCTTAAACAAAAATTTGCGTAATTTACAATCGATATTTACACTCCAAGTAATGAAGCAACTTATAACCTAACAAATTTTAAACCCCCGAACTGTTTACACCCAGATAACACAATATCAACCATATACCATATTTACCTTCTTTTAAAATTGCACCAAATTCTCTTCTGGCATACGCAGTATGCAAAATTGGTTTGACACTGGTCAAGTGAATGTGCGGTCTGTCATTACGCGTCCCGCGTACGTAACCGGGACATCGCTTCCAGCTGGACATTTATGCTAATAACCCTCCCGTTTTTATCAGTGTTGCGTGAAACTTCGTTTCTCGGAAAAATTTCTTTTATCGTTGCGCATCTAACCTCATAAAATTATTTATGCTGCATTAATTGAATAGGTAGGCTTTCATAGTTATGGCAGATTCAGTTGTACCTCCAGAAACCCAATAAGTTCTTCGTATTTTGTTACTGTACGGATACTACTGATCATATTTTTACTTCTGTTTATAAACCATAAATTTTAGTTTTAATAAACAATATTTTTTTAAAAAAATTCTTTTTATTTATTTTTTATTTTTATTTTTGTACTGTTTGGTAAAAAATTTACTAATGATAAATCGTCAGTGAAATTTGATCATTTGCTAATTCTCCTGTTGCGTAAGAAATCGATATATCAAAGGGACTAGAAGCTACAAGATGAATAAAATCAAATTTTACATTTCTACCAAGGCGATATATTCACGGAAAATCGCGAAAAACTTCCTGTTCTCCAAATAATAGCAGCTGGTAAAATCTTTCTCTATTAAACAATTACAGGCGCCGAAAAGGGAATACAGATGCACCTATTCTGGTTTACAACAAGGATAAATATATAATCAAGTAAATAAAAGTAAATAAATAAATAAATAAAATGCAATCGAATTTCTTCGTGAGCATAACACAATTATATTAACATACATGATGACTGCGCCAGATAAATAAATAAATAAAAATAAAAAGACTACAGTAGCCGAAATTTGCGCATAGCCATATAACTACGTTTTCTGACCTTTACCTCTTTCCATTTCATTTTTTATTCGTCCGAATGTAATATATTATGTTACTTACAGGTCAGGTCCTTGCGGCGTCCCTGCCTTACTGGCGTGTCGATCCTCATTCTTCAGTAATATATCTGTTGTTGTCACGGTATGATCGAATCTTTCCTAATAATGTTATTAGATAGAAATTTCAGCTTATGATGGCAAGCTGCACGTGATCGTGCTGCAGAAAATAAAAACATCTCTCTCTCTCTCTCTACGCAGCGAGAGGAGGGGGTCGTCATCGCAAAAGACCATTAACTTGGAGCTCGCAGTACAACCCATGAATCGTTAGTCATTATCTCGACAACTACAAGACTTCATGAAATCAACCCACTAAATATATTTTGACGTCTGAATTCGGAGTTCTTTCTACCTCCCGGTGACACATGCGTTTTGCATTCCAGCAACGGCATAGCAATGAGGTATGAATGCAGAAATCCACAAACAGAATTAATTATTATTGAAAATGGGTGTATTGATTTCCTTGAAAACACTGACTGAAGAGAAAGAGTTATTTGCAATTAGGATATCATAAAAGAGGAATATAATAAAAACCATTTTCTTATTTCAGCACATCTTATACAGAGAGTTAAATTTGTTCCAGATACCGGTAAGATTTAAGTTATTAATGAATTCTACTTAAATTCCCCTTATTTCTTCCTTTCTGATTTCCAACTATAGAAACACTCATTAATGTTTTTTTTTTCCGCTAAAATAACTGCGATAACAAGACAGGTACTGCCCGGTAGGTACAATGATAGCAGTTTATCTGTAGCCCATGTAGCAGGAGATCCAGCTTATCTCAGAACGTCAAGAGCTAAGTGATTCGGAATGCACAATCCGCCCGAAGTTAAACGTTTAAACTCAGCAAAAAAACAACAAGTGTTTATTCGCATTCCGTACGTATTGGTGACTGAGGTACGTAACTGTTGTTTTTTAGTTGACAGAATTCCAGCATATTCTGTTTTCTGTAATTATAGCCATACAAAATGCGTTTATATTTTGCTAGAAAATGTGTTTATATTTTGCTAGAAACAATTCTTCTTTTACATTATTTTAGTTTGAACAAGTAATATTTCCAGCTAATAATTTTCGGTTTCATCAATTTCTCTGTTGGTTTATTGTGAAATCAGTTAAGGACGTCATAGATTTAAATAAATACCCCAGCCATTTATAAGTAAGAGACAGCTAACATATTTAACAAGCTAAAATTGCAACATTGCCTAGATTTCAAATAAATCGAATAACAACCAGTATTTTAAGAGACTTTATAATTTCACCTGTGTAAGATGTTTTTCCTACACATGAATAAACTCGTACCAAGGACCAAGGTTAGGTTTAGAAACATCTAACTTTGCACGTTTAGAAACTATCTAAGTAAGAACAGTCAATACAATCTCTCAGACAGAACCGGTACAAAAAGCGCGATCAGACAGGAAGGCAATTTTTTTAGAATTTAGAGACGCAATAAGTTGAACAGTTTAGAGATGACAACTCCTTTCAAAGAGAAATAACAAACATTCAATAAGTATGTAATTACTCGTCGTGTACATT